CTGGAGTGAATCTCTCCCCCGCCCCCATGCGTCTAAAAAGTGTCCCCGCCGGTCAGACAGGGAGAGGCCTTCGCTTCACTGGGCAGCTGCAAAGGGCCCGTGAGATGCTCAGCTTTGAGGCTGACCAGCACCCCAGGAGGAACGTCAGGACAGTCCCCTCCAAGCCAAGTCTCTCAGCCCGACTATCTTTCAGTTCATAAGCATCTACCTGTCTGTCCCAGGCCACCCTGCAGAGATGAAGCTAGGAATTGAGAAGGAAGAGGTGTCCCAAGGGTTAAGTCAGCGCTTCTCCCCAGCAGCTCTGGGGTTCTGCATTCTGCCCGCACAGTAGGAGAGGGGCTGGTTTAGAACTATTACTACACTTGTTATCAGAGGGAAGTGCCGTGGGGGGGGGGGGGGGGGGGGTCTCTCTCAAAAGTACTAGGTGCCCATTTCTTCACATTAACGGAACCTCCCCTTTGTAGCTGATGGGTCACCACAAAAACTAAATTTTCCCCTTCTTGTCAACGGTTTGAAATGAGCCACCTTGATTACATTGACCTCATTAGCACTGCAAAAGTGATTTTTCTTCCCTGAGTATTCACCCCTTCTTGTTAAACTGTTGAGAATAGCCCACTTCCAACTTAGCTGAACTGGGCCGTTAGCACTGGCCCCCCACTCGGTAAGGCCACTCCCATCTTTTCACGTGGTGTGTATTTATACCTGCCTTGGTATTTTCCACTCCATGCATCCGATGAAATGGGTTCTAGCCCACAAAAGCTTATGCCCAAATAAATGTGTTAGTCTCTAAGGTGCCACAAGGACTCCTCGTTGTTTTTCAACCGGCCCAGGAGCCTATGCCAATTTGAGAAGTCTCCACTGCAGCTCCTCCAGGAGTAGCAACAGCAGGGGGTCTGCAGAAAGACTAGCAAATATGGCAGGCGACCAGCTTGGCTTAACAATGAAATCTTCGGTGAGCTTAAACTCGGAAAGGAAGCTTACAAGAAGTGGAAACTTGGACAGATGACTAGAGAGGAGTATCAAAATATTGATAGAGCATGCAGGGGTGTAATCAGGAAGGCCAAGGCACAATTGGAGTTGCAGCTAGCAAGGGATGTGAAAGGTAACAAAAAGGGTTTCTACAGGTATGTTAGCAACAAGAAGGTGGTCAGGGAAAGTGTGGGCCCCTTACTGAATGGGGGAGGCAACCTAGTGACAGATGATGTGGAAACAGCTG